TTGTTTTTTTTTTATCTTATTTCTTTTGTTGCATAATAAAAAGACCGACATTATCAGTTCTATTTAATCAAATTTGTCAATGAATACTTGCTGCTTAAATAAACCTTCTAGCACACACACACACACACACACACACACACACACACACACATATATATATATATATATATATATATATATATATATATATATATTTTATGTGTATCACTACTGGAAATAGAATTAATTTTGCACTATATTGTGTCTAGTTAATTTCCTCTTTATCACTGAGGCCTGCTGACCAAATGGGATGATGCATTGTATCGTAACAATCCAAGTTTGATTCTTGGTAGTGGATTCACACTGCTGCTGAGTCCCAAAAATAGGATGAAACAGCCGTCCAGTGTTTTTCTGCTTTCTGTTGAGGTTTCAAAGTCTAGACATGATGAACTATTATGAAAAATTATTCAAAATCCTCTAAATTACTATTCAGTTATATAAATATATACCAGATCCAGGCTTCTAATGATCTGGATTGATTGGCATGGTGAAGGAAGTCATTGCTCTTGGGGTCTATCCTGCGGGTTATGTATATCTCTTTCTTTCTTTTTTTTTTTTTTGTTTGCTATAAAACTTAATTAGCCTTCCTGTTGTTTCATTTGTTTTTATCTTATTTCTTTTGTCACACATGTGACAATATCTATATTTGCCTAAATAAGATTAACAGCTATTTATGCCGGACATAATGCTTCGATTCCTAAAGTAGAAAGATTTAGCTGGCAGTAAGGAAAAAATGTCTTCATAGGGAGTGGGGTCTGCATGGCTTTAGAATGAAGTAATATCTTTTTTTTTTCTTTTTTCATAAAAAAATCTGTATGACAAAATCTAGGCCACTTACTGTTATGGGATCTTACCCATAATAATAATAATGGACTCTTCCATACTTAATAAATACTGCGCCTCAGGAGTAGGCAAAGGAGTCAGTAGTTCAAGTTGAGTCAGAGGCAGTCCAAAACAAAGTCACGTTCAGACAATTACTGCAAGACATTGGAATAGTGATACTGGTCGAGACTACATTGTTCTCTCTACTAAACCTGATTGTTCATACTAACACTTCTACTTCGCTGTATATATTCCTGTTTGTAATATATCTGTGTTATTCCATACCTGTGTTCAAGTTCTTCTTTATTGGTTCTACCTTGGACTATCACTGTGGTACAAGGAACCAGACCATAACACTTACACTTAAGGAAGACGTATACTTTATAAAGAATAATAGTTATGTAAGTGTTATATGCAAATACATGGTTTTGTTTTATTTTACTGCCCAAAGTTAAAAGTCTGGCCATGGATAACATTATCTGGACAGCCAATTCAGACAACCAACATCTGCAGGAGCCAAGGTTCTAGGTTTGGAGGTGTAGTAATATGGCCATGGATGTTTGTCTGCCAACATCTTATCTGAAAGCATTTAAGAATATTTTGAAGTATTTCCAATTCTTGCTGGTAAGCCTTCATGTTTTTACTTTTTAGCCACTGAGCGTAAACAATAAAATTATAATAAAACCTTTTTTTTTCTAGAATAAAAACCCATATCAAGTTGCCAGTGGCCCACTTTTAGCCATCAGTGGCAATATCAGGTTCTGATGGCAGCCATTTTGGGTCACAATGGTGCCAGTTGGTAACATTTTTGAGACTAATATGTTGGTGGTCCAACAGAAAAAAAATATGGTTCTACACGATAGTAAATGCCACCCAGTGGCAGAACCAAAAATTGAAAAAGGGAACTTAGTTGGTAATTCACTCAGTTTTAATTCCCTTTAAAACACTTTATCTTATTTCTTTTGCCAGACACATGACAACTGTTCCATAATAAATATCCTCATCTAAGGCAGTGAATGCTGGACAATTTCTTCATAGATATAGAAGAGACTGGAGGCAACAGAAATGTGGTTCTACAGAAGGATGCTGAGGATGCCATGGATGAAGCATTTTGCCTATGATTTCCTTGTTGCTCAAGCAACAAGGAAATCATATGCAAAATAGAAACAACACAGAAACTTAAAATCAGAATGAGGCAGTTGGATTTTCTAGGACACATAATGAGGAAAGAGAGCTTGGAAAATCTGACACTCACAGGATATATTAAAGGCAAGAGAAAGAAAGGAAATCAGTGAATAACCTAGCTAATGAGTTTGTGTAAATGGATGGCAGAACAGGGAGGGGGAGTTATAGTAAAAAGACAAACATTGTTAAGAGCTATGACAGAAAGTTATGGAATGCTATGAGAGCGGATGTCTTGAAGGGACATGACACAGAAAAAATGAAGAGAACCTTGGAACTATGATTGTTCATACTTTTAGTCTCTTGAAAATTAAAGTTAATGGTAATATGGTACTAAGTATTAGTAGACAAAGACTTTATTATAAACAAGGAAAAGAGTGTTGAAATACTTCAAGAAATGATAGTAATGGAAAGTGGGAAGAATGTAGTACCAATTGAAAGAAAACACAATGTCTGGTCATTAGCAAAAGGGACAACTCAGGATGTGAGCAACAAATTGGAGATGTCAAAATGAAGCAAGTACAGAAATTTAGCAATGTGGGAAATGTTCCCACAATCAACAGAAAATGTGACATAGAAATCCAATAGTCTATAGCAGTAGCAAAAGATGCCTTCCAAAAGCTAAACAAAGAGTGCTGAACTGCTATGTGATATCAATCCTCTAAGGTAATGAGTGCTGAACAATTGCCTCACAGATGAAGAGAAAACTGGAGGCAAGAGAATTGTGGTTCTACAGAAGGATAATGAGAATACCATGGATGAAGCATGTAAACAAGGAAATCTTAAGAAACAAGACAGAATACTTAGACTCAGAAAGAGATAGCTGAAATTTCTGGGATGCATAATGAGGAAAAAAGGCTTGGAGAATTTGACACTAAAAGGCAAGCAAGAATGAAGAAAGCATTAAGAGTAACTAAACGAACTTGTAAATATACGGAAAAACAGGGAGGTGGTGGCATATTAAAAAGACAAACATTACTAACAGCTTTGATGAAAAGGAAGTTATGAAGAACCATGATTGCCTAGTTCTTGAAGGGACAAAGTGCAAAGAAGGTGAAGACTTCATACATTTAATATCTTTAAAATTAAATTAAATCATTGCAATATGGTAGCTTTCATTCTGTTTTTTTTTTTAATCATTTCACCCCAAGCAAGGTAATAATGCCACTAGGACACAGAGGGTTACAGAGAGTGAAAGAGAAGATTTTAGTAAGAAAAAGGACAATAAATGAACAAGATTCAGGATGACAGAAGATTGTGATAGACATTGATATAAATTTTTGAACATGGCGAGAAGAAATAAATTGAAAGTGAGTTCTACAGGCAAGAAAACTATTAGAATAGAACTAAAAGTTGCATCTAGCTAGTTCAACCATAAAACAATGAGACCTAATAGCCAATCTAGTAGCACATGTAAATTCATGCAGTCAAGGCATAAACATCTCATCAGAACAATTGCAATGAAAATATTTATAGAAAAGACAAGAGGGAAGCCATGTCACATTGGTGGGAAAGTGACTGAAGTCAAGATACCACATTAGGAATGATTATATTACTGCTTTGAATTTTGTTATGAATCTCAAGATATATAGTAAAAAAAACTGGAGCACCATGTATGGCAGAAGTATTCAATGTACAGATGAATGGTAGATAGAAGCAAGAGAATTCAGATATCTCCATTACATTTCCCAGTGGACAAAATTCTTTTAAGAAAGATAACTATTCCACTTATAAGCAAAAAAAAGAGTAAATAACATTCGTTAATATTGCTTTTGATATCTGTATAGCCTTCAAACATCAGGTCAACAGAATTGGGAGAAGAAAATGTAATGTCAGAAAGAGTAAGGAAAAAAAGCCTGGGGATAAGTAAGAAAGGTAGATAAAAATGAAAAAGAGATGTAGGTAAAAGGAAAGGGTGGAAAGGATGAAAACAAGAGAAAGATTTACACAGATTTGCTGTCTTATGTTTTATTACTCCTTTATCCCCTTGATCTTTTGAAGTGGGTGAAACTAATATTTTTTTTTTTAAAATGTATGATGCAAAAACTGAATGAATAATAATAATAATAATTCTATTATGATTGTACTTGTCCTTCCCTTCATTAGTTAGTACATCGTCACACCCTACCAATATCTTATAAATAATGGACTATTCCACGTTTTGACTACGTGGAAAGAGGCGAAAAGACATTACTTGGTTTCAGGGAGAAAATGAAAGAAAGAAGAAAGGGAAAATAGAAGTGTAGAGAGAGAGAGAGAGAGAGAATCAGATTAAGCTGATGAGAACAGATACTACATTTTGATCTCAGCCAAAAGTGATGTTAGAATTTTACAGACACACAATATCAAAATAAAGTAAACCGTGTAAGGTAATTGCCAAAAAAAAAAAATCCAATTAATTAAAATAATATCATCTCTAATTATTTTTAAATTATTATTAAAAGAAATTTTCATAAGTCGGGGATTTGGCTAGAAAGAAACAAAGAAATAAGGTAGATAAATGTTTCCTGCCAATACCTCATATATAAAGGACTATTCCATTTTGATCATGGAAAGAGGGGAAAAACACTACTTGGTTTCAGTGAGAAAATGAATGAAAGAAAGAAGGGAGGGAAGATTGAAGTGTTTAATAGTTTTTTCAGTGAAATGTAAAAAGTTGTCAATTTCAGATCTTTTTATTTGTACCCCCTTACTTCTTAAAATAACAACCAGCATTCATATTTATGATTGTTATTGCAATATTTTGTTAAAGTTGTTAAGCTCAAATATTTAACAATGTAATAGGTGGATTTCTATGGATATTTTATTGCCGTAGAACTCACCATGAGCATATTCAATCATTAACTTAAGAATTATGATTCATCAGAATATTAAAATAGGAAAACTGTGACATATTCATGGGTCTTTCTTATTATCATCATCATCATAATAATATTCAAATCAAATTGACACTAATATCATAAAATAAAATAAAGAATATTACTTACAAGAGGATTAATTTTCTGTTGGATGCCAATAACTGCAGTGCTTGGGGAGGGTGGAGGGAAATCTGGGGTAGGAGGCTGTGGGTATCCTGTTGGGCTGACGGGATATTCCGTGCTCACCCGACTAGAACGCTTGTGATCAAACTCCAGAGACGGTGGCTTGGCAATTTTGCTTGTTGTTTGTGGAATATCTGCAAAGAAATCAACAAAGTAATGATAACAATGCTTCTAAAAAGTTTACAGTCACCCAAAATAAGTCATTCAGTCAAACCCTGTAGACCTCAACCTCATAGAAAACTTATGGAGCATTATAAAGTACAGGCTCTCAAGAAGCAGTTGAGCAACATGCTCCATAAGTTTTCTATGGGGTTGAGGTCAGGAGATTGAAGCACCCATGTCATAACACTCACCTGCTTCTCATCAAAGTATTCCTTCATCAATTTGATTTCTTACAGGGAAAATTATCCTGCATAAAAATGAGCTTGGTGGGGAAATTTGTACCCTTTCAGCAGAAAGGAGCAGGCAAGACTCTAAAATTCTCTTGTACTGCTCGCTCCTGAGGGTCTTTTCAATATGTTTTAAGAAACCAGTTCCATGAAAAAAAAAAGCATCCCCAGAACATTATACTGAACAGATGCTTGACAGTACTTACTGCTAAATTCAAAGAGCTTTCAAAGATTCTTCTTCGGATTTTAGATCGCTTATCCTTTGAATTTAGCTCAACTTTCGTTTCATTGGAGAAGAGAACATTTAGTAAAAAATATCAGGTGAGTCACTTTTATCGAACAGCACTCTAAACTTATTTATGTGCCATGTCCATTCAGGATGTAGACGATCATGGCTCTCCACAATTTCTGGTCCTTTGTAGACCTTAATAAACTTAGTCTTTTTGTTACCTCTCCTAAGCTTTGTTCTAATATCAAATTTACTCAAGAATGTTAGGTAGGTTATGCATTATTTTCCTCTGTCCTTTTTTTAATCATTTTTAGGCTGTGGACTAATCTTTCTTCTTCTATGCGCCATGTCCCTACAGAGCATTGGTGATCATGACTCTCCACAATTTCTAGTCCTTTGTAGCTCTTAATAAACTTTGTCTTTTTGCTATCTTTCATAAGCTTTGTTCTAACATCACTTTACTCAAGATCATTAGGTATATTGTACATGATTTTCCTGTCCCTCTTACCTTCAATCCATCTTGTAAGTATCAGATTTTCCAAGCCCTCTTTCCTCATTATTTATATGCCCTAGAAATTTTAGATGTCTCTTCCTGATGACGTTTCCTTTTTGTTTCCCTTTTCTCTAAAACCTTGTTGTTTCATACATGTTCCGTCCATGGTATCCTCCTAGTACTATGTTTGAATTCCTGAAGTCAAGGTACCATTGAAGAAAGCTCTTCAGAACAATTGCCATGAAAAGCTGAATGACTTCAGCCGAGATGCCAGGTCAGGGCTGATAATGTTTCAGATTCTTAGGATTTTGTCAAGTAAGCTTTCAAAGAGTGGAGTTGTATACCAAAAACCAGTTTTGAATTCAGAATTCCTCTTCTCAGTGAGCTGCCAACTGAAGCTAGACAGCACAGTCTGCTCCACTATTTAATCCATAGCTAGGAGAAGAGTGAGATTCATACCTGTCCCAAGGATATTTGTGTGAAAGTGAATGCAATGGCTTCAGTTTAAATTTATACTAAGCACACCATTCCCACCTTGGTATCTGCTATACTACAAAAATTAATATTTATTTAAAGATTATACTAAAAGTACTTTATTGATTGATTTTATTTTTCTTACATATAGTTACCAATTATTATATAAAACATGCAAATGTTTTTTCATCATTATGTACATTATTTGGACTACTGTCCTCATCTTTGTCGCCAGTTTGTCAGTTATCAGTTATCTCCTCAAGGACACAGTTGATTAAGGCGTTGGTTAGATCCAGTGACAGGACCCAAAGAGTGTGAGTTCAATACCTGGTTAAGGCAGTGGAGAACTTTCAGAGGGAAATTAACAGGAGATAACTGATAACTGACATCTATTAAAACATGGCATGTGGAACAAGAACAGTCTATCCCAGTGAGCGAAATAAAGGGTTCAGTTTGACATTCTGTTGAGATGTTGAGTGTTTCCCCGTGCGTGTATTGAAATAAGGACAAATACATACGTAGGGAAAAATACTGGTATATCTGAAGAGGTATTTACAACAGAGAGATTAGTAGTCAAACAAACGCAGGTTAGTCAGTAACAATCAGAAAGAGTATAAAGTCCAACTGTATTCTCCGGTAGAGAGACGGAAGTGTGATGGTCACCTGATCTTCCCAGAACTCTATAGAACTGTCCTATTAGTAGTAGAGAGATCAGTCCATTCTGATGAGAAGGTAGTGTGCCCCAACACACTCCAACTACCTGAAGAAGGTCGGAGCATACAACGGCCGAAATGTTGTAATAAATATGGCAGCAAAGATGAGGACAATACTCCGAATAATGTAAATAGTGTACATAATACCCAATCTCAGAAATATAGACAGGTTTTTTCATCATATTTGTTTTTATATTGAAGCCTCTATGTAATAATATTTTAAATATATATAAAAATTTTAAACATTTAAAAAAAATATATAACAAATATTTATAACTTTTAAAGCTGTTTTGATGATGACCAACTGGTGAAAATAATATAAAATTTAATTTTAATAATTGGAATTGTTCTGGTTTTCAATATATTGCAGCTTCCTTATCCTTGTAATATTTGCCTCCATCCACATCATTCTTTTTTACCATTGTGACCAATAGAAAAAATAATTAGAATTGACCATTCCAGAAAAGCCTGTTTTCATAAAAAATGCAATCCCTCGTAAAAAAGCAAAAGACTAAAAAAAAAAAATGAAATGAAACCCTAGAAAGAAGAAAGAGAGCATGCAACCCACATAAAAAAAATGAAAATTAAAAAAAATCACAAAAATACAACTTCACCACACAAAAATAAAATCAAACAAAAAAAAATAAAATATAAGACCTAAAAATAGAAAATTATTTTAAAAGAGTTAAAAAACATCAAAACAATGAAGAAAAAAACTCACACAGAAAAAATAAAATAAAATAATGCAATCCCCCAGAAAAATGAAGAGAAACTCTAGAAACAAGCAAAAGTCAAGAACAAAACAAAAAATGTAACATAACTGCCAGAAAACTCAAGAAATGTACAATTGCCAGAAAAAAATACTGAAAAGGCAATTTAAATACAACCTCTAAAAATAGACAGAAATAAAAAATGCACCTGCTATCCAAAAACAAAACCAAAAAAAATGTAACCCCAGAAAAAAGGTAAAAAATAATACACCCAGCAGAAAATTACAAAGTAAAACAAAAATTAAAACCCCACCAGAAAAAGAAAAAAAACAATGCACCCACCAAAAAAAAAAAAAAAAAAAAAAAAAAAAAAATAATGCACCTGCCAGAAAAAATTAAAACAAAATTACATACCCTAGAAAAAGGAATAAATAATACACCTGCCAAAAAAAAAATGCAAAGTAAAACAAAAGTTACAAACCCTGGGAAAAGAAAATAATGCACTCCCCAGAAAAAATGCAAATGAAAACACAAATTATATATCTTAGAAAAAGGAAAAAAAATAATGCACCCGTGAAATAAATAAAAAATAAAAAAAATGTTACAACCCCCCAAAAAAAGAAAATAATGTACCCACCAGAAAAAAAAATGAAAAAGAAAAATTATATATACTAGAAAAAGAAAATAATGTACCTGCCAAAAAAAAAAAAAAAAAATGAAAAGTAAAAGAAAATTTGCTACCCAGAGAAAAAGAAAATAATGACCCCCCACCAGAAAAAATGAAAATGAAAAATTACATATCCTAGAAAAAGAAAATAATATACCTGCCAAAAAAATGAAAAGTAAAAGAAAATTTGCTACCCCCAGAAAAAAAAAATAATGTACCCAGCAGAAAAAATGAAAAAAAAATTACATATCTTAGGAAAAGAAAATAATGCACCCACCAAAAGAAAAAAAAAATGAAAAGTAAAACAAAATTTCCAACCCCCAGAAAATGAAAATAATGTCCCCACCAAAAAAAAAAAATAATAAAAAAATAAAAAATACCTGGAAAAAAACACTAAAGTTTATAAATAAAATGACACTCCCTTAAAAAAAGTAAAACAGAATTTCCAACCCCCAGAAAACGAAAATAATGTCCCTACCAAAAAAAAAAAAAGAATAAAAATAAAAAATACCTGGAAAAAAACACTAAAGTTTATAAATAAAATGACACTCCCTTAAAAAAAAAAAAAAAAAAAAGTTCTTTTTTCTTTAAAGTAAAAAAGCACAAAAATAAAAATACAAAAAATATAAAATGAAAAACATAAGTCAAAACTAGTATCTTTACAAATTTACCTTGTGTAGTTGGTACCAAGGCCTCTCCAGTTTCAAAGTGGCTAGCAACCTCTGAATCATTCCTCTGGTCCTCACTAGTGTATTGGTGTTTTGTAACCTCCTCAAGAAAACTTTTTGATTCAGACATGCTAACCCCTTCAATATTATTATTTGCATCATCAGTGGTTTCGTCATCCATAAACTCCGTTGTTATGGGTGCATCAGCCACAATTGTTGTCGTCATCACTGCGGATGCTGCTGTTGTCATCCCATGTGGCTGTGTCTTTTGGGGAGGCTGGTGGGGCTGAGGTGAAGGAGGTTCCGGGGTTCTCCTGGAGAAGCTCTCACTCCGGCATTTCTCCTCTGCAAAGTGTCCAACATTAGGAGCACCCATGCTAAGGTCCTTCACTTCCACTTTCAGGGGGGTCGTTTTCACAGGGGTCGTTTTTACCTCGACCCGTGTGATGTTTCGACTGCTGCGATTGCACAGTTCACCTTCTGTTGAATTGACAACAACCATTATAGGTTTCTGGATTTCTGTGTAAGAGATCTCGGTGGTCACTTCAGACTCACTTCGGTGTTTCCTCTTTTCCCGTTTCAGTGAGCGTGTAGAGTGCGGATGAGAGAGCGAGTGGTCAAGTGGTGGCTTTTCACGTATGCAACCCGTCCGGCTTGACCGCATGGGCAGCCCACCAGCAATGCCCTCACGCTCGGCAAGAGCAGCAGCATTTTTCTGACCAGCAACCCCACTTCGGGGTTCGGACTCATAGTTTAGCATCACAACCACTTCAGTGTTTCCATGGCTGTCAGAATCTCGTGCCGATGGCCGACACTCATAAGGGGAGTGAAACACTGTGTCTGGATTTATTATAGAATAAGGAGAATGGCTCTGTTCTGGCAAAGGTGAACTTCCATCATAGGACTGTGTAAGAGATGATGGTGAGTCGCTCCCCTTGCCATCAGGATTGATCTTCGGGCTTGGGTGACGCCGTCTTGGTGGCTTCCGAGGCATGTCCTATGAAAAGGAAAGGAAAAAAAATAAAATTATTATTTATAGGCCAGAATATGATCGAAATGAACCTGTGGATATTGGAAACAAAAATTATCCATTATCTCATGCCTCTGCTCTTCTCTCACTCTTTGCCTGTATCTTCTCATTTTCTCCCTTATCCCTTTTAATCATTGTCTCTTCATACCCAACCAGGAAGATGGTTTCTGTTTGGTCATTTCATTGTAATACCTTTCCACTTTATCTACATGTGCATACACACATATATGAGTTGGGATCTGACAGAATGATAAAGTAAAGAACAATAAAGAAACAGTTATAAATCTAACATGTTTCACTTCTATTAAAACTTCATCAGAGAATGAGATATGGAGAAAAAGAAAGAATTTCTGGTATTTTTACTTTTGCATTGTTTGATTTTCATTGGTTAATCAGGTTTCACATGCATTTGACTTATTAAAACAACATTAGTATAATTCTTGGTGTTCCTTATTCAACGGGAGATGACACGTCAATCCAAAATTTCAAGAAGTTAATGGATTCCTAGCTTACCTGAAAAACTGTAAATATTTATGTATGTAAGTGTATAATATATTCTAGTATCTCTTTATATTTCTGAGATGAGGTATTATGTACACTATTTACATTATTCGGACTATTGTCCTCATCTTTGTCACCATATTTATTACAACGTTTCGGCCGTTATACACCCCGGCCTTCTTCAGGTGGTTGAAATGTCAAACTAAACCCTTTATTGCGTCTCTTCTTTAGGTGGTTGGAATGTCAAACTGAACGCTTTATTTCGCTTGAGCGAAATAAAGGGTTCAGTTCGACATTCCAACCACCTGAAGAAAGCTGGAGCATACAACGGCCAAAACATTGTAATAATAAATATGGTGACAAAGATGAGGACAATAGTCTGAATAATGTAGTCTATAATAATTCTAGTTTGCCTATATGGGATTCAGTTGATAATGTATATTCCTGTGTGTGCGTATGAGTGTGTGTATCTGGTAGATATTATATTTGTTGGTTTTTCACATGTTGATTTGGGAACATTTTTACATATATACAAATTCTCATAAAATACAAGAATAAAACTGGGCATAACTTTGATTTTACTCATGCCAACTTAATTAAAAAGAAAGTAATTCTTTACAAAGAAAGTACTTTCTGAGCTTACTAATAACAACATTACCAACTATAAACACATGTCAAAAATCTGACCTGGAGCTCTTCTTTATTTATAGTTATGAACTAGTTCATATAGTAACCAAGTGTGTACTATTTATTCCACAACAATAACCGGAACACCAAACTAGATATGACAGTAATATTCAACACCATAGTAGATTTACATATATGCAAGACAGATTCTGATGAGAAAACTTGTCTGGTAACTAATACACCAAGAGTATTGTTTTGTGTTCATATAATCTGTTATTTAAATTTCTCAAGGTTTCTCCCATGTATTTTTTGTGGCAATTATTACAGGTGATTGCCACAAAGAACACAAAAACATTATCTATGAACTTAAAATTATTCTCTGCATTTATTTTGACATCACTACAATCAATCAATTGATTGATTGATTGTTTGATTTCTTTTTATGCTTTATCAACCCTTTGTGGATTATCATCGAAACATATTTCAGATTGTCAGAGATTGCTTACAGTATCCTTTGTCCCCAAGCTGTCTCCCATGACCAGGTTCGACATTGATCAAATTCAGTCAGAACCAGTGTTTTTTGTATGATTTGAAAATAACCCGACCAAGATCAAGAAAAAAATCCTTTCTTTTTAACCTTTATCTAGCTTGAAGTGAAAATTGGCACCTCTAGAATTCTCTCCCTTTGCTGCTCTAGGCGAATTCTGTTGCCTTGAGAGGATTGCTATAAATACTGGTCAACTATTATTTCCAGTATTTTAAGCTAGAAATAGCCTACTACCACTTTGGAACAAGGCTAAACTTTCATTTTCCAACACCATTTTGAATTCTTCTACACTCTACATGAGGTGTAACATTGATTGCACCTACATTAAATTTATTGTGAGTTTTTATAAAAACAAGATGGCCGCATCAACATCCAACAAAGCCTTTATTCAGGAGTTTTTCTTTGATTCAAACTCCAATAATGATTCTGAAGGCTTTACTCAAGTGGATATAGGCAGTGAAGTAGTCAAAGATGATAACTACACTAGTGACAGGGAGGAAAGCAATGATAACTACTAGGTGCAAAGTGGCTACTATAATCCATGGCTGACTAATTTTATGGAAGCTACTAGCCCCATGGATGTACCTGATAGCCTTTCAGAAACTGAATTATTTTATCTATTTATAAACAATGAAATAATAACTTATTTGTCAATGAGATAAATGAATATGCTAGTCGGTGAAAGAAAGAGCAAACAAATGCTGGTGTCTACTCTTCTGTCAAAACAAGGAATGATGTGACTTTTAATGAAATGATAGCAAGCCTTCTTAGCCATTTTGCTTCTTATTGCACCCCAGAATTCCAAAAAGAGTAATAAAAGTTAAAGTATGTTAAATTGTTAATATATTTGTTTTTTTATTGTGTTTCAATTTTTTTGTTTTCAACATCAAAACATGCATGCAAAATGTAATGCATTACATCAAAATATTACTTATCCATTCTTTTACTAGTATACAAAAAATAAAATGTATATATACAATACAAAGAAAGTTATAATAATTTTAAAACAGTAGGTGCTCATGATTTTTACGACATCTAAAAAAAAAAAAAAAAAAATGCAGTGGCAGAGGCAACAATCCTAGAAAGAATTTAGGGGGTTAAAGGTTAAAAATATGCACACATATAAGAGGGTGTCAGGTTTTGGGAAAAGGTGTGAACTGAAAACTTTTCTGCAATCTCTCAGGTATATGTGTGTGTGCACGCACACAGACTCCCTAACTTACCTGTGGAGAAGTTCGTCCTGTCATTGTGGCATCCACAGATTGCACATGAGCTAGGGTTCCCGGAATACTTTCCACGCTTCCAACGCTCCTGTTATCTGCAAAAAAGAACATTTCTTAAATTCATAGAATTAGAAATTTGGGAGCTAATTTAAATTCCAGTTCGGTTTGTTAGATTTATTTACATGCATATACTCTTGGAAAAGGTATGATTCCATCTTCTTCTCTGCCAGCTATGGCCAATACTGCTCTTCTGAGGGCACTGAGAAAAAAGTGGACAGCCAAAGTGTGGCAGTGGCCCATCTGAACCATAACCTACACTACACACCCATTGTACTTCTAGTGTCTTGCAGTGTCTCCCATTTATACAACAATTACTATAGGAAATACTAAGATACTCATTTGATATGCAATACTAGCACCTGAAAAATTTAATCAAAGGTTGACTATATGTGTGTGTTGTGCGGGGGGGGGTGTCATGGTTGTGTTTTTAAACAAAAGGGGGCTGCAACCCAAAAATATCTGGGACCCCACTGGGTTTGAATTTTTGCTTTCTGGCCATAAGATTTGACTTCAAATCTCAACATCTTTATCTTGTCAGGCAGGTGAGAATATTATCAGTCTACAAAATCAAACTTGGCATGCAACACCTTTGGAGAATGACTGAAAACTATATAATATATCTGTTACAGTAATTTATCCATGCATGCATGGACTCTCACAGCTATAAATAGGAGCAGGTACTGCCTTTTAGAGGGAAGTTTCCAGCAGTCAGCTCTGACAGTTGGACGAACATTCTTGCTGTAACACTTTCATTTGTATATGTTTGTATTATTGTTTCTGTTAATATATTTGTTTAACTCAGTTCCTCTCTTGTGTCTTTATTTCTGATCCTAACAAGGCCGCGACAATTACCCAAGTTTATTGATTGAAGCTGGGTAGCCAGAACTGTATGTCACTAGCATGAAGCCAAGTGTAGTTTGAGTGTACTGACCTTTTTCAAACTATTGATTATACCAGATAATGCGCTCTTTCTCAGAAAATGTAATTAAGCCCTGTTCAGCACAGCTGCAGTATAAACAAAAAGTGGGCTCTGTTGATGTTGTCATCTTAGCATCGTCTTCACAAAAGTTTGGGACTCACTTTAAGACTAACTTGCTCTACAGAAGGCACCCTTATTTGTATGTGAAAAGATCCAGTCAGTGGGTGGACTGAAAAATAAGTCAGCAACCAAAAGTGGTAGTGGCCCATCTGAATCATAACATATACCAAACACCTGTTGTACCTGAAGAGTCTTGCCTTCTCCCATTTATACAACAATTATAATAGGAAATACTAAAATACTCATTTGGCATGCAATACAAGCATCAAGAAAAGTTGACTATACATTGGTGGAGGTTAGGCACGTGTCTATATATTTGGGGGGGGTGTTAGGGTTGCATTTTGGCATGGAGGGGGCAGCAACCCTAAAGTTTGGGAACCATTGGGTTAAATAGTAAGATTTGTATCTGGAAAAAAATCATTGTTATTCTCAAAAGACTCTCCATGTAATATTCACTCTTCTTTATGTGCTGTGTCCCTTCAGGACGTAGGCAATCATGGCTCTTCACAACTTCCTTAAATATTCTCAAAAGACTCTCCATGCATTATTCACTCTTCTTCTTTATGTGCCGTCTCCCTTCAGAATGTAGGCGATCATGGTTCTCCACAACTTCCTTAAATATTTTCAAAAGATTCTCCATGCAATATTCACTCATCTTCTTTACATGCCATGTCCCTTCAGGACATAGGCAAACATGGCTCTCTACAACTTTCTGTCTCTTGTAGCTCTTAATAAACTTTGTGTTTCTATTATTTCTCCTAAAGCAAGCCTATTATGGATTTCTAAAAGATGTCTAATACCTATTATGTATACCTAAGGAATGCTTATTATGTATTCCTAAGGCATGCTTATTATGAATTCCAAAGGCATACCTGTTATGTATTCAGAAGGCATGCCTATTATGTATTCCTAAAGCATACCTATTATGAAATCCTAAGGCACACCTATTATGTATTCATAAGGTATGCATAATATGTATTCCTAAGGCATGCCTAATATGTATTCCTAAGGCATGCCTAATATGTATTCCTAAGGCATGCCTAATATGTATTCCTAAAGCATGCCTATTATGAATTCCCATGGCATGCCTATTATGTATTCCTATTATGTATTCCTATGGCATGCCTATTATGTATTCCTATGGCATGCATATACAAATGTGTATTTATAAGTGTATCTATGTGTATAAATTGGCTCTTTGCTGCCTACTTGTTTCTGCTAGGGTGGCTAGTCAATCCCAGTTGCTGAGTGAAATGAATCTGAAATGAATCCTTTATTCATTCCATATGTTCAGACACATTTGTGTTTAACATCCACTGATCTCATCTATGGTTTAAAGTACAATTATGTTGAGCAAATCTGTGTTACAGTTTCTGAGAAAATGCACATCATCTGGTATGATCAACATTTTTTTTAAAACAGCCAGTACACTTAAACCCTTGTTTGCAAAGACTTGTGACAACTCTTCTTCCAAACAGTTTTGTCTGCCCAATTTTATTTACAAGATTTGGGTTTATCTCTGATGTGGTTTTCAGGTCCTTTCCAATGGTGAGGAATGCTGGAATCACATCTCTCAGCTGATAACATCAAAAAGTCACCTTCCTGAGAAATTGTTGGATTAAAAATAAAATCCTTAGATATTAAAAAATAAAAAGAAATTTTGGAGACCCATAATAGCCTAAATCCTGAAAGAACATCACTCTTCAAGGGAAGAGAAATACAATAAATTATTTACCAAGATTATTATGTACACTATTTATAACTGGACAATTTTTCCCTCATCTTCGGCCTTCATCAGGTATATATCAATCTTGGTAACCTATGGGGTATTCTGAATTAAACCCTTTATTTAATCAATGGGGGTAGACTGTTCTCATTACACTGCCCATGTCTAGGGATATCTCATCTAGTTCTTATTTTTTATTACTGCTCAGTTATGGGTCATCCTGTTTCCACAGTGTTCAAGTACATACTCTTCTGCCTCTCATGTCTAGGGATCTCTCGTTTAGTTCTTATTTTTTATTACTGCTCAGTTATGGGTCATCCTGTTTCCACAGTGTTCAAGTACATACTCTTCTGCATTTCATGTCTAGGGATCTCTCGTTTAGCACTAATTTTTGTACTGTTCAGTTATTGCTTGCCCTGTTTCTACTGAGTCCAAATACACACTACCTAGCCCGGAGATTGAACTCACAATTACTATGTCACATAGGTTGAATAAAGGATTCATTTCAGAATTATCTGTAGGTTACCCAGATCAAACTATACCTCAAGAAAGCCAGAGAGCACAACAGTCAAAACATTGTAATGTGAACAATAGTCCAACTGTAAATAATGATCCATCACCCCAAAAATTCAGATGGAAATTACCAAGATTAGCCTGGCACAAAGCTAAGGCAATGGAGCACCAGATGTGAATCAAGGTCATGATGCGGATGCACTGATTTGCTTAACAAGCTTGCTGATAAGTGCATCAAAATAAATACTTATGTTGCTAGCATATATATTTAAATTACTTACCTTCCTGCATAGTTTCAAATTTGGTTGATTGCCATAGATTTTTGAGTAGCGTAGGACTTCTGGGAGGTATAGGGGGAGGGCTTTCTTCTTTTGGTGGGCTGGAAAAGAGAAATATCAACATCTTATTTGAAAATCAGAACAGATATTCCACAAAAGAAACATTTTACAAGCCCAATGAAAATTGGATCAACTTGAATTTGTTTTCTACAAGCAAAGAAAAGGAGGTTGTAACAGAAGTTCTCTTACTTCTCTACAACTTATATAAACATTTTCAGCAAGACATTTATTCTCTAAAGTTGTTTTTGTCATTATAATCTGGACATAGCTACATAGAGCTGACCATGAGAGAAACATTTGAATCATTTTCTAATGTTTATATTAATAATAACAATGATAAAATTTCTATATGAACAACATTTTCATCAAGACATCTATTTTCTAAAGTTCTTTTTACCATTAAACTAAATCCACTTGAATTTCCTATTCTGGACATAGCTACATAGAGATGACCATGAAAGAAACATTTGAATCATTTTCTAATGTTTATATTAATAATAACAATGATAAAATTTCTATATGAACAACATTTTCATCAAGACATCTATTTTCTAAAGTTCTTTTTATCATTATACTAAATCCACTTGAATTTCCTATTCTGGACATAGCTACATAGAGATGACCATGAAAGAAACATTTGAATCATTTTCTAATGTTTATATTAATAATAACAATGATAAAATTTCTATATGAACAACATTTTCATCAAGACATCTATTTTCTAAAGTTCTTTTTACCATTATACTAAGTCCACTTGAATTTCCTATTCTGGACATAGCTACATAGAGATGACCATGAGAGAAACATTTGAATCATTTTCTAATGTTTATATTAATAATAACAATGATAAAATTTCTATATGAACAACATTTTCATCAAGACATCTATTTTCTAAAGTTCTTTTTACCATTATACTAAGTCCACTTGAATTTCCTATTCTGGACATAGCTACATAGAGATGACCATGAGAGAAACATTTGAATCATTTTCTAATGTTTATATTAATAATAACAATGATAAAACTTCTCTATGAACAACTTTTTCATGAAGAGAAATATAAAAGCGAACATAGAAGTCAGCACCCAAAGGTGGCTGTTTTATGCTTAAATGCAAACGTCAGGCTATTATTAGACTGAAGAAGACCTTTTAATGGTTGAAATGCTTAACTTTGTTTTTTTTCTATCCAAGTTGTCATATAATTACTTGTCTGAAATTTTTAAAAATTATAACATTATATATATTTACAATACTAGCCAAATACATGTCCTATAAACAGAAAAATTATAGAAGTACTCTGATCTCTTTGAAATTTTTTATATAAGTAGCATTTTCTTCAAGACATCTATTTTCTAAAGTTCTTTTTACCATTAAAAGGAGTCCACTTGAATTTCATAATCTGGACATAGCTCCATAAAGTTGACCATCAGAGGAACATTTGAATCATTTTCTAATGGTTATAATAATTCAGCAAACTTACTATTTGTTTAAATAATTAGGTACGGTTTTAAATTAATTTAATTAAACATTATTCTAATGTATTTAATTCCATTTTTTTTTTTGGCTCCATTTGACTATTGTAATTTTTTGTGCATAATTTGAAAGATTTTGTACAAAAATTAAAGGCAAAAAGAGTGGTTATATAATACACAAGTACACATTTTCAGAAATTTTTACTCAACTTAAAAAACCTCTTATTTGAAACAGCAAGATTGCAAATACTCTCAGCACAATATAAAAGAAAGTAGGCAGGTATTGATAACAATTGCTTACAAAATGGTATTTGATATGTTGGATATATTAGTTTCTTGCTTCATTCTTAATGAAAGTATTTTTATTATCATAGTTTATTAATATACAGGAATATAATAAATTATTATGAAACAGAAAAGCATGATAGATTAATTAACACATTAAAATGTTGAGTTAGAACCTTTCCCGGAAAACCGAAATTAGGAAAAGAAATAGACAATGGCTAAACATCCGGTTCATTTCTATTCTTTAATATTGTGAGAAATTAAATTTTTTAGTTGAAATATACATATAACTTTAAGATTTAAATGCATAATATGGTACTAATTTTCAAAAAAAAGTTTACATGCTCTACAGGGCTGTATTATATTCAACAATGTAATTAATTCCATGTTTTTAGTTTCTAAAACACAGGGTTATATTATACTCAATATAATATTATACACAATATAGCTATATGGCTAAATTTGAATGACTCCTGCTGGTTAGCCTTCTTAGATGAAGCATTGTCAATTATTATTCATTTTTCACTAGTATTTCTTTCATCTTCATTTCTCTTACTTTTTATTGCAACTCCCATCCATAAGAAGTAGAAGTAGAGAATATAGCTATACGGCTAATTTGAATGACTCCTGCTGGTTAGCCTTCTTAGATGAAGCATTGTCAATTATTATTCATTTTTCACTAGTATTTCTTTCATCTTCATTTCTCTTGCTTTTTATTGCAACTGCCATCCATAAGAAGTAGAAGTAGAGAATATAGCTATATGGCTAAATTTGAATGACTCCTGCTGGTTAGCCTTCTTAGATGAAGCATTGTCAATTATTATTCATTTTTCACTAGTATTTCTTTCATCTTCATTTCTCTTACTTTTTATTGCAACTCCCATCCATAAGAAGTAGAAGTAGAGAATATAGCTATACGGCTAATTTGAATGACTCCTGCTGGTTAGCCTTCTTAGATGAAGCATTGTCAATTATTATTCATTTTTCACTAGTATTTCTTTCATCTTCATTTCTCTTGCTTTTTATTGCAACCGCCATCCATAAGAAGTAGAAGTAGAGAATATAGCTATATGGCTAAATTTGAATGACTCCTGCTGGTTAGCCTTCTTAGATAAAACATTTTTTATTAATTTTCAGCTAGTCATCTCTTTTATCTTCATTTTACTTTCATTTCCTTGAGTAGCATTAGGATTCAAATGTCTCAGACAGCAATGCTTGTGTTTATGAATTTAATTTTATTTACTAAAATAAATCAGTTTTATATTGTGTTTTTTTTTTATCTGATTATATTATTTAAGGATTCAAATACTTAATCTAGCGATTAAATGACAAACATCATATATATTTCAAAATTTAAAAAATTAAATTTTAAGAGATTATAAACAAAGAACTTTCATTGGTTTTTAAACCAACATACATAAATTAAATATAGCTTCCAATATACACACAGTCTCACTTTTCCCTCTTTCAATCTCTCTCTCTCTATATATATATACACACACACACACATGCATACACAAGATGGCTGCTTTCTCATTTCTGAATATAACTATCATTTGATATCATCTTTCGACGGTACTAGTATACTGCATGAATTACAGCTTTTAAGCGTGCCAATGACTTACATTCTGCTAGACACATATAGGTATAAAGCCAATTTATGTGAGTACAACCTCCTCCAAGACTTTATTGTTGACTTCCTTGCCACTGATGATTTCTCTGGTGACTATATAATCCATAGCATGAACTATACAATAAATCACAGGTTTTGCAAGCAAGTTTACCCCTTGCTGCATTGGTATCAATGCATATATTGTATTTCTATATACACAAGCATGTGAACAAATAATTTAAGATGGTTTTCTATGTCTGTTGCAGTTCCTCTAATACCCAGCCAAACTCACATTAAAATCAGGTTTTTCCATAGATGCTGTAAAAAAAGGTCGGACGACCAGAGGTTACAGTTTTATACCACTACCTCTTCTTGCCTGTTCTTGCTATCAAATTCAATCCAGAAAGAAAGATATTGTGTTTTTTTGTCAATAGCATCCATTGTTCACTGACAAGCAACTGATTCTTTATTTTATTTTTTTTTTTTTTGTACAGTAATTTTCACTTTGTACAAGGTCCAGGGGCCACTAAAGGTAGAGGGTTATGTTATGGGGTAGTTTATATGGATAGGAGGGGAAGATAACGGTTAACTTGAACAGATTAAGATTGTAGTGATCAGGGAAAGATCCTCTTGGGAGTCTGTTCCACAGAGAAGTAGTTCAGGGGAAGAAGCAGTTTAAGTGAAACTTACTTCTCGCCAATGGAATACAGAGGGAATGTGGGTCGTTTGTTATTATGGGTGGCATGGTGGGTCCTAGTCATGAACATCTGACCTCGTGGATGATGCAGTTCATCCAAGCACTTGCCATCAAAGTAGTGACAGAGCAGTGAGAGACTCATCACATCCTACATGTGAAAGAGAGGTTGAGGCATGGAAAATAATTCAGTGACACTTTTGAACTCCAAGACTGGAAAGTGAGGACTTGGACAGCTTCTGACCAAATATGGCAACAGTCCTCTATTTTCAGCCTGACCTGGCTCTTATGAAGGTAGAGAATAGCATGAGGACTCAGGTACCTACTGAAGCAGTACAGGGAACCGACAATTTTACCTGCATCTTTAGTGATGGACCATATATAAGAGTTCCACTTGAGGTTGGGGCCCAATATTCTCTCAAGGTACAGTTGATTGTTAAGGGGACATTCGTTGATCGTGACTGGCAGTTTTTCAGGGTAACCTTTATCTCTCTTCTATTGCACTCTCCTGTTTTACCAGCCAGAGACCAGTTTGCCAAAGATAATGCTCTTTCATATTCAATCCAAAGAATACCCATTGTAGATGAACTCTTTTCATCTCAATCCATGGATCAACCAAATGGACATGCAGAGTAAATGCATTTATAACAAGACAAAATTATAAAGCAATGAGATAAAAAAAAAAAAAAAATCTTTCTATAGCTTCTAGTAGCTTTTGCATTCACAAAACAAACCTTTATTATGATTTATGCATCCAAAAATAAACATCTTACCTTATGCTTGTATCTTGTGGTTCATTACTAGGGTCAGTGTCAGGTGGTGGCAAGGGAGGTAACTCATCACTAACAACATTGAATACAAAGAGTGCAAATGAAACAAAAATGCAAGTGTACAATAATTAAAGGCTTGTATCCTCATCTTTTTTTGTTTTGCTCATTGTTGTATGGCTGACCCATTCTCCAGCCATCATCAGGCATACATCACATCCAGTAGCAATTTTTTTAATTTTAAAAAGCATGCATTTTCTCCTAAATATTTTTAAAACTTTGCCATAAATCTGAAGAATGAAATTTGTTTTAAAAGAAATTTAATTTTTAAAAACAAAATTTAACTTAAAATATTCAGCAACAAAAGCAATAAATCAAAAACAAATTGGCGACATTTTTTTTTTGAACAAATAAAGTTTTAATTATATAGCAAAAAAGAAATTAAATTTAAAGTAAAACTGATTAATATTTAACTACAACTAATACATTATCACAAATCCCATAACCCTTAAGTTTGTCGAGGCACCACATATACTGCAGTCGAAGTAGAGGTGATGTTTCCTGGGCAAGATTGCCTGATGGAGGCCAACCCTCACCAGGCTGGTTTGAATTCATTGTTTTCCTTCTCCTAGACTGGTTGCCACCCAAGAATATAGTCCTGCTATTTACCAATGGCTAAGGGAAAAAGAGGCAGATTCATACTTTTCCAAAGGTTATTAGCACTTAAGTAAATGCAATGAACTTGACTGGAATTCAAACTCAGCTTTCCAATTCCTCAATCCAAGCCACTATTCATTACTCCACTCCAGGATGATAACATAAAAGGGGTGGGGTCTTAAAAATGATAATACCAAAGAACTACTTAAAAGCAATCAGTTCAAGCAAAAAACCGTTTCAAAAGAAGTTTTTTATTGGTTACTTGGTTAGGCTAAGAACTTTTCATTTTAGCTGGTAGATTTTACATATCAACTCTTGTTAAGTTATTTAATATTAAACAGAACTTTTCAACACCCCTTTTAGATGAATGACTAGATTTATTCATTTAATATGATTATTGTTGCAAGTCAATGATCAAAAGTTATTTTGTTGCTTTTAAAACAAGAAACTCGTTAAAAAAACATGAAAATTAATTTGTGTTTTTTTCTTTTGGATATTACTTATCATTTGTGGTTTAACACTGGCATGATCATTGTTCATTGGTAGTTTGTATTTTGGCTGGTTTGAAACTAATATCCCCATCTTTAAAGATAAAGTTTCAAAGTTAATTTAAAGTATTAATATTCATTATAAACTAAATTTATGTCAAAATTGTTGAGCTTCTTGAGATAACAAGGATAATACCTATTATGTTTAGATCTAAAAAAAAGAATCTATTTATTACTATAGTACAATTACAATAGTATGTCATGCTCTAAAAGGAAAACAAATTAAGCTTCACCCACATGAAAAGAGGTAAAGGAGTAATTACACTAAAGAAAGCAAACCTGATTGTCTTTCTTTTGTCTCCATTGCTTTCTTTTTCATTCACTTTGTTCATTTTTCTCTAGCTTTTTTACTTACCTTTAAAGTTTCCCTTATTCACATATTCTTTCCTCCTTTTTCCTCACCTTAATTCTGTTGTCATGCAGAAATTGAATGGATAGTCAGTTGATGGCTACACGCATATACATAAGACTTTTCACAGAGTAAACAGATCTTACAAATGTGCTAAAATATACATAGATAGGGAGGAGAGGGGGAAACATAATGCAACACATTAATGCCAACCATGTTTTACCTTTGGACATTAATTATGGTTTGTGGTTCAACACTAGCAGGATACTGCTTTGTTACTAGTTTGTATTTAACACTGGCATGATCATTGTTCATTGGTAGTTTGTATTTTGGCTGGTTTGAAACTACTATCCTCATCTTTAAGATAAAGTTTCAAAGTTAATCAAAACTATTAATATTCATTATAAACTAATTTACCTTTAAAATTGAAGAGCTTTTTGAGATATGGCTAGTTAGTATCTATTATGTCCAGCATCAAAGGCTAAATGTTAAAATTATATACAATCACCTATCATTCTGAGCTGCTATACATTTCACCACCCACATATCCTGTCCCCCATCAAAAGTAAGGTGTTAAAAGTATATACAGTTGTGTAAGCCATGCTAAATTGGGTCTCTTCAAAATCTCTTTAGAAGTTAAGATAATTGGTAAAAAAATGGAAGAAGTTAGCCAAAATGATGGTATGACTGAGTGCATGTATGATCCAGTATTGTTCAATGTTAAATATGGCTGCTCAGTGCTGACTACCTTGGAGATAACCATGTTATATTTGTCTGCAATCTGACAATATTTGGAGATAGTAAAAGATGATGGAAGATCTGTCAGCCTGTATTTGTTTAGTACTAAATGGATGTAGCAAAGCTAATTAAATAATACAATGATCAGGTCTTGTTCTAACAATGTTAAATATGGCTGCTCAAAGCCAAGATGCATCAATAAGGCAGGTCGATTTTTCACATTATTAGAAAATCAACAATACACTCAGTGTGAAAATTGGAGTTTGATATAATTAGTGACATCAAAAATTAGATTCATAGCTTTTACTAATTTTTGAGCATTTAGTTTTAAATATTATCTGAAAAAAATGTACAGAAATATCTAATTTCTACAGGTTTTTGCTTACAGACTTCAAAATTTTACTATTTCAAGAATAAATCTAAATAAAATTGGTATCTTTTGTATGATATACATTGAATGGAAAATACATTCAACCCAGAATTCTAATTATGAATCACCACAAGCAAAATATTCAATTTTTTACTATATTTGATAAGTAAAAACTGGAAAAAAAAAATTGTAAAGTTTACAAAAATGGCTACTCAATAAATAGGATCTTACACAATTTGTTAGCTCATAATTAATAAAAACAAAAAATAGTTAAAAGTGTATATAATACCATAATACTGCTAGGCACAAATTATAAGACAAAAGGTTTTAAATTTATATTGTTTATTGAAAATCACGCTAAAACTATTGCACTGTATAACATATTACATCATAATATATCTGAATTGTTCAGTATAATTTCCCTTTGAAGTAAATGAAGGTCTTATTTGATGGAACAATGATTTAGTAATAATGTGCTTGTGCCATGTATCTTGTCCATATACAACTTGTAAAGCTTTAGTAAATTATAAATTTTATATGGCTGTGCTATAAGGTTTTCACTGATGATGGGAATTAAATTCTGATGCTATGATTTTGAACCTAAACTTAATCTTTAAACTTGTTTCCACAAAAAAATGGTAACAATTTGGAAAAAATAATTTGTGTCATTATTTATAATTTTAACTATCATTTGTATTTCACTCCCTTTTTATATATTATATATATATTATATATATATATATATATATATATATATATATATAGGATCCTATCAATAAAAAACATTTTTTTATAATTGTAAAACTTAATTACATATGTACAAAAAAGAACAAAATAGCATGTAAAAATGACAATGCAATATGAATTTTTTATTAACTAAATTTAATGAAGAATTTTAACTTGAACTGATGCAGCAATCTCTTTGATTTCTGGTTGCTATGGTACAGAGACTTTACGAAATTAAGTGCAGTACTAGATTGGCAGCTAGGTCTCACCCTTTTATAATTGAAATAGCTAGATGTAACTACATGCACTATGCTAAGAGATTTTTTGCTTGCATATCTTACTTATGGAAATCCAGCCTTTTGCTTTCCAATCAACTTTGATCTTCAAAAATTTAAATGCAATGTCAATCGTTACATTCTGTTTTCTTAATTAATATTTTTTTTTTTTTATTGTTCTCTCTTCTTAATGTTTTTCTTTTTATCTCGTTCTTTGGCACTCAGTAACACCTTGTGTCTTTGTGGCTTTATTGCCTTCCTTGTAGTGAAATGATTAAAAAAAGATTATTAAAACTTCCACCCACAAAAATATGCTTGATAAATTCCAGAGAAGACGCCAGCATCAGTATAATGAACAAAACAACAATGATGAGGATACCAGTCTGAATAATTCATGCAATAATGAATACTTTAAATTCCAGACAACAATTACAGGCAGACAAGCATGAAAAAAAGTAAAAGAACAAGCAATTTCCCTGTCAACCCTTAAGTAGGGTATTTTCTACCATACAGACTTTCAAATGTAATGTTTTCAAATCTATTTTGAAATTAACAAGTCCACAAACAATAATAGGTAACAATCCTTGAAATAATGTGTTCCTTTAAGAAAAAGAGAAGACTTTACATGCCAGCTCTGCTTCTGTGTTAGTATAATCTACTGTAGTCTTGTCAAATACATCCAACTCAATGTAGGTTAAATTGAAAACAACAGCAGCAATTTTAATTTTCTTCTGATTTAAAAAGTCAATAATATTTGTTTATACTGTATTCTCATTATCCTTCTACATAGATAGTTACTTGATTTTGACATACTTGATGCATAACTCTCCAACTTCGACTCTCTCTTACAGGCAACCATGCATTTCATTTTCTTACAGTTAATGATTAGTCCTTTCTTCTTGCTCTCCTTCATTAACTTATCTGAGAGACAGTTGCAACCTTGGGAAGGTTACTGAATAGAATAATCAAATGGAGGTTGGTAATGAATGATAATATGTAGGGCAAGAACAATACATATAAGATTCACTAGCGGCATGTAGAAGTAGTCAACTGTTAGAAGTGAGTCAAGTGAATTCCATAATGAATTTCCAACTGCAGACCAACATACAGTATTTACTACTGTATTAATGTGAATGGGGACATACACATTATTGTCCGTAGGTATCCTACAACATGATGCTTTCTTATTCATAACTTAAAATCACTCCTAAAGCTGTTGTTGCAACCCGTGTTGCCACTGGCTTCAACCCTTCAGACCCAGCATAACTTCATAGACTGTATTAATGATGATTTCTTTTACTTAATTCATTTCATTATAAGAGAGGGACTAAAATGGTATTATGGATTCTAGGATGTAGTGAGAGGAAGAACTTCAGGGAATGCATGGCCACTTATTGAGATGTGTAGGTTTCTTAATATATTAAACATCTCCTGTAGCTCTCACCCATGACTCATTTTATTGAGGGGGTGCTGCCCAGTAACTAAATTTTGGAAGTTTCATACTTTTATTTATAGGGAAGGTTACTAAATATAATAATCATCAAACAAAGGTTGGTAATGAAAGATAATACTTCGGACAAGAACAACACATATAAGATTCACTAGCAGCATGTAGAAGTAGTCAACTGTTAGAAGTGAGTCAAGTGAATTCCATAATGAATTTCCAACTGCAGACCAACATACAGTATTTACTACTGTATTAATGCGAATGGGGACATACCCATTATTGTCTGTAGATAAGCTACAACAGAGACACCTACACAGTGTTATCATTTTTTCATTAATCTTACAATTGTTCACCTAATACAAAGCCACTCAATGTCAAGGATTACAGAAACAGGATGTTGTCTGAGCCTAAGAGGGAGAGGTAAGAATTACAGATTATGAGGATATGTAGGAAATTTCCCCATGGATGAGAAAAATCTACAGGTAGCAGAAATATGGTTCTACAGAAGGATACTGAGAATTCCATGACTGGAGCAAGTAAACAAGGAAGTATTTGAAAAAAATGGCTACAGAAAGAACACTTATACTTAAAATCAAGAAAAGACAAATGAAATTCCTTAGACACATAATAAGGGAAGAAGGCTTGGTAAACTAAATACTGCACATATTGAGGGCAAGAGAGATTGAGCAGTGAGACTTCCTCCATCTCTTGCTGAGCTTGTGTGAATAGATTGTGAAACATAGCTCAGGGGCCTTAGCAAAGGGAGATATACTGCAAAGAGCTGCACGAGATAGAAAGTTGTGAAGAGCCATGATTGCCTATATCCTGAAGGGATGCAGCACATAGAAGATAACAGCTGACCCTAGACTTGAAGAGGTTAAAACTGTAGCTATCAGTGAAGAATCCTCTTGAGTGCCAGTTCCATAAAATATAGTACAGATTCCCAAAAAGATGTTTCCCCAATAATATAATCAACCATTATCTTTAACAACCATTCATCTACTCAGGGTATATTATGATTATCATCAAAACTGTTTTGATTTTAGGTCATGAATTAATATATCCTCTCATCTTCAGCGAGATTGTCTACTGATTCAACAATATTTTGCCAGCCTTCTCTCTCCTCTGTGAGTTTGCGGATTTGTTGAAGATCTTCCTTGATTGTAAACTTCCCCAAAGGAGAAGTGGGATCTTTCTGCCTTGTTCTTTGAATGACTCGGATCAGCATTGTAACTATGGTAGTTCTTAGAAGACCTTTGAACTTTTTGAAGTCAGTCTTTTCAAAGTAAAACTCCATGGCTTTATTAGATGGGAATTCTGGATCTATTAGTGCTTTCAAATGTACTTTTCTATATCTATCACTAACTGCTCTTGCCTCTCGCTCCGGATCAAGCCCAGTACATTGAAAGTTCCAACTGAAAAGATTATGACGTTGGAAGTTCAATAGCATTTTCCAAATATTGTCTTTCTCAGTTTTTTACATCTTAAATAAGTAGTTACTGCCTAGCAGTAACCGGAGCAGCCATTACCTACTCCGCCATATTACATTATAATTATGCCAATAAATTCTGGTAGGTCTTTTGGCATTCTTAGAATCATCTTACCATAAATAAATATTTCTGGTGACAAAAATAG